CTACCCGGAATCGAACCTGGGACCTTTGAATGAGAGGCCAACATCTTAACCTCTAGGCCACGAGAGCCCCCTTTAATCATGTCAGCAAAAGCTGGGAAAGTTCGTTAAAAGTGAAAAACAACCAGCTCGCATTCAGCGCTCATGTAGCCTTGTGTGGTAGCGAGCGCCGTAAAACTCTTTCACAAAGGGGGAAAAAGTTCGCAACAGCAGGTCGCAGACAGAAACACGAAAACACATTTTGTACAAACAAATCGCACGAGTCAAATTTACCCCTGCTGACCGAAGCGTCGATCGACGAGCTATTTCTAAACAACAATAATAATGGGTTTGTTTTTGAGCTGAAAAGGGATGGCATTCTCGTTGCATTAATGTTACAGGCACTGCGTCCAAACTTCTCAGCTGGTAATATCTGGCGCTGCAGGTGATTGAAGGGTGCCTCTGGCATAGCTAAAAGATTTTTCTGTCATGCTAGTTGATAGATTCCCTCTCTGTTTCTGTCTGTCTGTCTGTCTCTCTCTCTCTCTCTCTCTCTCTCTCTTTCTCTCCTTGTCTCCTCCAGGGAACTGATAAAGATTAGCACCCCTGCCAGCACTACTATATCACATAATATTATTCCTTTATATCAACCTAAAACCCGTATCCCAATGCTGCTGTGTCCAGGTTTGTTCGTCAAACAAACCACCCCGAGGCAATTATTCATCATTCTCACTCTCCTCCACATTACACGCACAAAAATAACATCATTGTTGTTGCCGTTCCCTACATAACACACATATATAGTATACAAATAACGCGATAAGACTGCAGGCAGGCTGCTTGCATTCATGCACCTAGTGTACCCCTGGCTCTCAATACGACCGCATCAGTGTGATATAACCAGGGGCATCAGTGCGGCATCAGCATTCTCCGTAAAACATGCTCGCCTCCAGCGGCTCAAATCACAAACATGATGGCTCGATGGGTGAGCTGGACAAAGGCTCATCTCCAAGTACCGAATGCCTCTCTCTAGGGGAGCAATCCCGGAGCAGTAGATGTAGAGAGGAGAGACGGAGCCGTCCGTTTGTTATCTCCTCATGAGCGCAAAGTTTTGATTTCTATGATTAATGACGGTTGTTGGCCTGAGAGAGAGAGAGAGAGAGAGAGAGAGAGAG